AATTATAAATATCTAATACCTTCCGCGTGTTATCTGTCCCCTGTCTGCCTGACACAAATCCCACTTGGTCTGTATGAATTAAAGTAGGTAAGATGGATTTTAATCTTTCTGCGTATATTTTTGCATATATTTTAGCGTCTATATTCAATAACGATATAGGTCTAAAATTCTGACAAACCGTTAAGGGTTTCCCTGGTTTTAGAATGGTAATTACTTGTGCCGCCAAAAATTCAGTTAGAAAATTTCCTGTTTTAGTGCCTTCATTAAAAAAATGAGTCAATGGGTCGGCCAAAAATTCTTTAAACAAAGTATAGTACAAATCAGAAAAAACATCAGGTCCTGGTGCTTTCCTTTTGGCTAATCCCTTTATTTGTTGTATTACTTCTTCTGTTGTAATGGGAGCTATAAGCTGTGCCAATTGGGGATCCTGTAGAGTAGGTAGATTCAATTTGTCCAAATATTGATCTATTCCTGGAGGTTGGTTTTGGGAGGTTTTTTTGGTCTTTTAAGTTGTATAACAAGCCATAATAAGCTGCAAATTCCTCACAAATCTGGTTTGGTTGAAGAATTTTTTGTCCTGTCTTTGAGAGTATAAATGGAATTCTAGAGTGGGTTTGTTTGTCGCGAAGTCTCTGTGCAAGTACCCTCATGGCTTTATTACCCATAGAATATGAAGTTGCCTTGCGTTTTTTCAGTGCAATGCTGGCTTGTCGTTGATGGATTTCATTAATATCATTTTGTGTTTGTTGTATGCTGTCTTGCAGACACGCGGATGGTCTTGCTTGATTCTGTTTGTTGAGATCTTGAAGTTTTTTTAAGAGGTTCAGCAGAGCTGTTTGATTGAGCTATTTGAGATGAGAGGCTCTACTGATAAGAAGTCCTCTTATTACTGGTTTATGTGCTAACCATAATGTTGTATAGTTTGTGTTTCCGGAATTATTTATATTAAAATATTGACCTCTTTCTTGTTGAATTTTATCCGAAGAATATAGGATCATTTAGTAAATATTCATTTAGTCTCCATGGACTTCTGCTTGTGTAATTGTATTGATCCATTAAATTAAGTATTACTGGATTGTGGTCTGATTCCATCGATATTCCAATCTCACACGACTTAACTTGTACTAAGTCTGAACTGTGCATGTAAAAACCGTCTATGCGTGAATATGTATTATGGACTTGGGAGTAATACGTATACTTTCTAATATTGGGATGGAATGTTCTCCAGATGTCATAAAGTCCATAGGCCATCAAAATTTTATTGAGGGTATTACACTTCTTGTATAGAGCGGACTTTCTTTTAGTTGAATGATGTGCTGTGGAATCCATGTTCGGGTCTAAGACATGATTAAAGTCTCCCGTAATAATCGTAATACCGGTTTGAAATTCAGTTATTTTGTTCATGAGTGTCTGCATGAATTTGTTTTGGTTCACGTTAGGAAAATATGCATTCACTATGGTGTATGTAGTATTATTTATTATACAAATTAGGATAAGAAATCTACCTTCTGGATCTATATATGTTGCTATCTGTTCAAAAGTTAATCGGTAACTCAGTAAAATTGATACACCTTTAGTCTTCTTCGGAGATGTTGCGTGATATTGAAATGGGAAGTTCTTAAGGTTTAATATTGGCTTGGAATTATGTTTATTCCTAAATTAAGTGTCAGAATAACCAGATGACACTTCTGCCATAATGGCAGCTACACTGAGCTCCTCTATGCTTAGCTGTCCCCTTTAGCCCCTTAAGGACACATGACATGGGTGACATGTCATGATTCCCTATTATTCCAGAAGTTTGGTCCTTAAGGGGTTAAAGTTAAAATTTATATTCCCATAATTGATGCTAGTAGAGCTATATAGGTATTAGATAAGCCGTTATTTGGGTAATAGGGTGTACTTAAGTGTGTATATTACGGATGTTGCAAAATCATATTCTTGCTTATATGTTCTACAATATTATATATATAACCGGATACTGGATAATATATATCAAATATTAAATAATTCTTATTCTTTTTTTTCTAAGCCTTAATAATAACTTGCAGCCTTATGTCTCAATCCACACACAAACGTATTCGTTTCAACTCTTCTCTACCATTTAATATTTAAACCTTTCTACTATCAATTAAAATATTGACATATTAATTAATGGATTGATGTCAAACAACATAGTACTGTATTTAGCTGTCTGTTAGATTATCAGGACATCAAGGTACTTAATGCATCAGTTAAATACCCTATTATGTTCCTCTGGTATTCGATATTGACGTATATCATTACATCTTAATTTTATCATTATAATTATAATACTTTACAATATCCGTTAATATATCGGCACACCGGGGTAATTAACAAGATATTAGGTAATGTATAAGTATCCGCCCACATCCCATATTATCTCAAAATCGTTGCAAAATTGTTTATCGTTATCATAACTTGCGAACTTGTGTCTTAATTTTACCGTCGCTTTAAAATTCCCATTGAGCATAGTAAAACTTTCCTTTAGAATAGTATAAAGCCGTGCAATGCAGTATAACATTCTGCAATGTTTAGTGCAGTATAAATATAAATATAAATATAAATATGATCAAAGTTGCTCCAGTTGCCCCAGTGGGATATTTCTAGATAAAGTGTCAAGATAGTAGAATAACAATTCTCGAATAGGGGAAAATGTAAATGTTTAAAGTTGAAATGGCAGTCATAGTGGTAGCTACCTAAGGTTCCTATAATCTGTCTTTTTTTACTAACATATCCACTTTAACATATAATGTTTTAAGCTATTCTACTATCAAATAATATATTGACATGTTAATTAGTGGGTTGATATTAATCAGCATATCAACCTATTCTATTATCAGTAAGTGTGTTGTTTTACCTCGGTGAATTAAATAATATTAACCCCTTCAGGACGGAGTCAATAGTGCACGTTCTGATCAAAACAAAATGTAAACAAAAACTGGAATTTGCGCTATATGTCTGTTCAAGCGTAATTCACCTCTTTCATATTAAATACACCCACACTTATTATATATCATTTTGTTCAGGAGAAACAGGGCTTTCATTTCATATCAAATATTTATATATGAAACATAATTTATTATGAATAAAAAAAAAAAACTGTGAGAAATTTAAAAATTTGTAGTTCCGCCTCACATTTTAACTGTAAATGTTATAATACTGTTAGCTTTTACTGCAAAAAAGCACATATTTGGATTCAGCAAAGTCTCACGAGTACAACAGTTTTTACGGTGTTTTGGAAAGTTAAAGGGTCAAATATAGCACATTCCATTTTTCTGTTTTTTCACATTGAAATTTGCCAGATTAGTAATGTTACCTTTGAGACCGTGTGGTAGTGCAGGAATGAGATTACCCCCATGATGGCATACCATTTGCAAAAGTAGACTACCCAAGGTATTGCAAGTGGGGTATGTCCAGTCTTTTGTAGTAGCCACTTAGTCAAAGTGGTTGTAAGCAATGTGAACCCGTCTGATAAGACAACTGGGGCTTATCTGCGTAGGCAGGACAAGTATGATGTGCCATGTGTAAAAGACATGCCGTGGTGTGTGGCGATTGTACCTAGTGATTGGTGAGAGAGCACGTAGATGTCCTGTCCTTCATGTAAGGTAGTGCATGTGGCTTGTTGTAGGCTCAACAGGATACTCTATGTTAAGGCTGGAACCAGTCATGCTCACTACAAGTTGTGTGGCTATTATGCAGGCGTAGTGAAATAATAGAGAATATTATATAGCATAAAATGAACCTGCCTGGTTGTCAATGTTGCTGGGTAAGACATGTACAGTTCACCATACTATCCCGACCAATCACAGTATGCGAATCTTAGTATTAGTGCATAACAAGTATTCAGGCTAGGTCACAGCTAAACATGCTACTTTGCCCACCAACCCTTCAGAGTTATGCAGAGGAGACTTATTCCATAAGGAATTGTGGTGAGTGCATCCGCACAGTGGGAGCCCAATAGAGAGAGTCCATGCGGGCAGTCCAGGCTCTCAAGAGCCCTCTCCTGGGGACGCAGTTGGAGGGACGTCCCGTGAAGGGAGCTAGATCAGCCGATACCTCTGCTGGGGATGATGGCAACTTGGACCGATAGAGACCGCAGGGAGATGGTAAGGTGCAGGTAGGTAGAGGGAGTTCTCCAGCCCCTGGCCGGTGTAAAGGTCCACACATGCGGTCCACAGACTCGGTACCTCGCGGCTTAGGCCGTGTCTTCACTCTTGCGGGCCCGTGGGTGATCCGCCATCGCCGGTGACGGTCGGAGTTCCGGCGGTGTGGTTGGTGTCGTGGAGACTTCCTCCTAGTGGCCTTCTGCCAGGGTGGACATTTGGGGCGAACTGTGTCAGTGGTTCGGTGGGGTCCAGAGGGTGGGGAATTCATCTTACCCCGTTCCGCAACCCCCTTCACCACTTTCACAGGACCAGACTGCATCTGTCTGCTGTGTTGCTCCAAACGCTCCCAGAACCTCTGGAAAATGCTCTCCAGTCTCTCGATGCAGGAATCCACCGCGTGTCTCCCTGCCTACTAGGCCGCACTGCTGGGCTCCGGTTTCTGGGGGCGTTCAAAGGGGCTATTTCAGGACCCCTTGTGTCTGCTTTATTAGTGCTGCAATCTGCTCTTGATTGTGTGCTGCTTGTGGTAGGGTAAATGCTGTTAAAGCTGTTTTAGAGCAGTTGATGGCAGGAGCCCTTAGAGAGCACGTCCGGCCATGTTGAAAGTCAGGCCCCGCCCCCTACCGCCTATTATTACATATTGTTACAATATCATTATACTATCAATTAATGTATCAACACCCCAAGATAGTATTATAGTTGATTGTCAAACACAATTTATTAGCTTATTAACACAATTAATTATCTTATTAAGGTCTACTAGTGTTCACATATCATTGTTCTTTCATTTTTATCATTGTAATAACATTATAATAAATAACTTGCGATCTTATGAATCAGTTCTCAGTCAGTTTCCTAATCCCATCGAGCTTGCTAAACTTCCTTTGGAGTAGTTGTCTTGGATTTTAGTACACGGCCATTTTCTTGAGGGTTCCTGCTCGGTTCGTTATCTTGCTTGTGCAATAAAGGGATCTTCCATTTCCGTAACAGCTCCTCTACTTCTAGTGGCGAAGTCACGGTTGTGTTTCCTTCTTCTTTCAGAATAATAAGGTTAACTGGATTCTCCCGACGATAAGGGATATTATTATGTCTGAGGGTTTCTGTGATGACTTTATATGTCCGTCTTCGTCTCATAGTCTCCGCTGAGAAGTCCATAAACATACATATTCCTTTAAATCTTTCCAACATCTCTTTTTTATTTCTGTGAGCTCTTAGGATCTGCTCTTTAATATGGAAGAAATTTAGTCTTGTGAGGACATCTCTTGGTATAGAGGAGGGTAGATGTTGTGGTTTCGGTACTCTGTGCACACAATCTAATAATAATTTATCAGTTGGAATATCTGGTAGTAAAATTTGAAAAAATTCTGTAACATAGGATGTCAATTTCTTGTGTGGTTACTTCTTCCGATATACCTCTTAAACGAATGTTATTTTGGCGTGATCTGTCCTTCAGACTCATGATCTTAGACTCTTGAAAGACTATTTGATCTTCTAGCAGGGTTAAGTGTTTTTCTGTTTCAGTGTTTAAATTTTGAAAGTCCATCTCCAAACATTGCGTTCGTGCAGCCAGTTTTGTGAGATCTTTCTTAACCTCAGCGATAGCTTCTGTGAATGTAGACTGCATTCTGGTAACTGCGCTGTCAAGCATAATTTGTAGTACCAGCTGTGTAAGTGGGGCTTCCGGGTTTCTCATCACCTCGCTTGATTGCTCCGTGTCCGAAAGCTCGGCGCCATCTTGAGGCAGGTATTCTGCTTGTTTCATCGCTGTAGTCTTGGCCATAAAAAAGGTAGATTTATCTCTAATCTCTGCAGTCTTCTTGGTGCGTTGAGCACACATATTAAGAGTCGCCAACGGGGATTCTATAGCCAAACTGGAACAGACTTGTCGGGTATAACAGACGCGTTGAGCCCGAGCTACCAGAGCTCACTTAGCTTGCCGCCACTCTGCTCAACATCCGGTCCCGCCCCCCCTCTTACGTCCCAACTCCAGGATTTTAACGTGCTTCTTCTTGAGCCACTTCTTTGTTGCCTTGGCTGTGCGTTTTGGGTCATTGTCATGCTGAAATACCCATCCACAACCCATTTTCAATGTCCTGGCTGAGGGAAGGAGTGTGTGAGTGCGTCTGTATACTGCATGTTTGTAAACTGCGTGGAGTGTGTCTGTATACTGCATGGAGTGTATCTGTATACTGCCTGGAGTGTATTTGTATATTGCCTGAAGTGTGTCTGTGTTCTGGCAACTGGATATACTGTCTGCCCTTAATGCAAGTATCCAGTATAGCGCCACTGGAAAAGTAACATTGTCTTTGCCTGTAGAGGACAAACACATGATATCCCTTTCAGTCTTTATACTGCCTGGAGTGTGTCTGTATACCACATGGAGTGTATCTGTATACTACCTGGAGTATGTGAGTGTATCTGTATACATCATGGAGTGTGTCTGTATACTGCATGGAGTTTATCTGTATAGTGTCTGGAGTGTGTGAGTGCATCTGTTTACCGCATGGAGTGTGTCTGTATACTGCATGGAGTGTGTCTGTATACTGCATGGAGTGTATCTGTACACTGCCTGGAATGTGTGAGTGTATCTGTATACCGCATGGAGTGTGTCTGTATACTGCATGAAGTGTATCTGTATACTGCCTGAAGTGTGTGAATGTGTCTGTATCCCGTATGGAGTGTGTCTGTATACTGCCTGGAGTTTGGGAGTGTATCTGTATACCGCATGGAGTGTGTCTGTATACCGCATGAAGTGTGTCTGTATACTGCATGGAGTGTATCTGTATACTGCCTGGAGTGTGTGAGTGTATCAGTATACTGCCTGGAGTGTGGGAGTGTATCTGCATACCGCATGGAGTGTGTCTGTATACCGCATGGAGTGTGTCTGTATACTGCATGGAGTGTATCTGTATGCTGCCTGGAGTGTGTGAGTGTATCTGTATACTGCATGGAGTGTGTCTGTATACTGCATGAAGTGTATCTGTATACTGCCTGAAGTGCGTGAATGTGTCTGTATCCCGTATGGAGTGTGTCTGTATACTGCCTGGAGTTTGGGAGTGTATCTGTATACCACATGGAGTGTGTCTGTATACCGCATGGAGTGTGTCTGTATACTGCATGGAGTGTATCTGTATACTGCCTGGAGTGTGTGAGTGTATCTGTATACTGCCTGGAGTGTGGGAGTGTATCTGTATACCGCATGGAGTGTGTCTGTATACTGCATGGAGTGTATCTGTATACCACATGGAGTGTGTCTGCATACTGCATGGAGTGTATCTGTATACTGCCTGGAGTGTGTGAGTGTATCTGTATACTGCCTGGAGTGTGTCTGTATACTGCATGGAGTGGAGAGCATTAGTAAGTTGCATGGAATGTGTCTGTGGACTCCATTATATGGAAGGCATGTCTGTGGACTTCATTGAAATTGTCTGGGAGCTGTATGCAGTGTGTCGGTCTGTGAACTGCGGAATGTGTAAGTGTGTGTCTAAACTACATTTTGTGTGTGTCTGTGTCACTGGTAAGCACCAGTTGGACCCATTCAGTCAGGAGAGATCTGCAAAGCGTTTAGGGCAGAAAAAGGGTCAATGCAAGGATTTTTGGATACCCAGGTGAAGATGCATTTTGGAACCCACCCCCAAATAAAAACAACTGTGTGCCTCTTAACCCCCCTTTTGTGTTTTTTTATCCCCTCCTTTTAATGTCTTATCCCCTTTAGTGTATCTTATCCCCTATTTTTCGCCATTGTATGTCTTACACCTCCCTTGTGTATCTCTTACTACCCCCCCTTGTGTATCTCTTACAACCCCCCTTTGTGTGTCTCTTTCTCGCCCAGTCCCTTTATGTCTCTTACTCTCCCCAGCCACTTTGTGTGTCTCCTTGTCTCCCAGCCCCTTTGTGTCGTTTACTCTTCCCAACTCCTTTGTGTGTTTTTCTTTCACCCCCAGCCCATCTATCTCCACCCCTAGCCTTCGGTGTGTCAGTTTTTCCCCTTCTACAGCCCTTTCACATCTCGCCCCTCTGTGTGTTTTTCTCACACCCTGGCCCCTTTGTGTGTCTCTTTCCTCCCCAGCCCCTCTGTGAGTCTTTCTCCATCCCAGTCCATCTTTGTGTCTTTCTCAACTCCAGGCCCATTTATGTCTTTCTACCCCTTCACGTCCCACTGTGTGCCTCTTTCTCCCCCACCAGCCCCTTTGTGTATCTCTTTCACCCCTTCCCCCATTTCTTTGTTAGCTCTTCCACTCTGCCCTTGTCCCTTAGTCATCTCCCCTCCCCTTTCGTCCCTTAGTAGTCTCCTCTCCCCCCGCTCCATTCCTTAGTGGTCTCCTCTCTTACTCTGCCCCATAGTGGTCTCCCCCTTGTCCCTGTCCCTTAGTGGTCTCCAACCCTCCTCCCAGTCCCTCAGTGGTCTCCTTGTCCCTTAGTGGTTTTACCTACGACCCTTAGTGGTCCTCTCCCATCCCTTCCCTGTCCCTTAGTGGTCCTCCACCCCCTTCCCTATCCCCTAGTGTTCCTCTCCCCTCCCTGTCCCTTAGGGGTCCACTCATCTCCCTTCCCTGGTGTGCCTCCTTACCTCCCTGTGTAGCATGGCTGAGCACTTCCTGTTAGACTGACCAGATACACGAAACAAAAGCTCCTGTACCGCAGTCCGCTCCGATAAGTTGAGTGACTGGTAGGAGGGAATGCTGTGCGCTTCCTTCCTACCGGTCACTCGAATCTTGTGCCCCCACAGCCGGTGCGCCCTAAGGCAGCCGCCTCTGCCACCTTACGGACGCGCTTGCCCTGGGCAGAAATATGACAGGGCAGAGCAGTAGAGGAGCCATGATAAGGCCCTTCCACAATGTATTGCTAGCAAGGAGAATAAGGAAATATATATTTGGAGAAGGAAGAAGTTAATTGGAGGAGGAATATAGCAAACACTATTTGGGGGAGGGAGAGTGTAGGGAATATGCTAATAGAAATAAATGGTTAGTTGCCAGGCATTTGTGGCAAAAACTAATTTGGGCATTGAGAGGGCTAATTGTAAAGTAAATGTGGCCGTCTAAATTGGGAGTAAGAGGGTAAACTGGCATAGGGATGTAGGGACTTGTGACCATAGAGTTGGTGGGTTTTGGAAGTGGGGACATTTTTGGGGAATTAGAAGTTTGTTTTCGAGCACAAAAACAAAATCTTACACCAGAGTCCTTTTACTTCTTAGTTTCGCTACTCCCTCTCCTTGCAAATTACTTAAAAAAACCTCTAATGACTCAGGATACATTTCCATTCTTTCCCATTTTCATATGAATTGAACAAAAGGGAGGTAAAATAACTTTTTACACAAGCGTTTAAATCAAAATAATTTTAAACAAAGATTAATCAGTGAACATGTTTAATCTGAGAATAAAGCCTTGTTTTGATCCCTTTTGATCTGTGAAAAAAACAAGCATTTAAAGTGGAAAGCATTACTCATGATATATACATAGCTTGGGATGTTATCCAGAATTCTATAATACGGCTTAAAAACATACATAAAGTATTGTGCACTGAACACAGCAATGAATAGAGCTGTATCCACTTAATCTCATCAAACGCTTCTTTGGCATCTTAGAAGAACATTACAAACCTTAGTCACTCCATCTTGCGGGAAGTATCTTAGGGGTTAATAGAGTGTCCCCTCTTTCTAATTTTATAACAATCCAGCACCTTTATATCGGTTCTGGGTTGCACCCTCTTGGCTGTCAATCACAAAGTCTGAAGGGTGCTTTTCCTCACTCGCCTTGTGCTACAGCATCTCAGACACAGCTTACAAAAGCTGTTCGTGTGCTCTGACTCCCAAGTCTTTGAAACATTGCCTCTGCTGGTAGGCCGACAGTCAGTGGTGTATCCTGGTTTTGTGCTGCCCTAGGCAGGACAAAACTCAGGTGCCCCCCGCCCCCCGCCCCAGCATTCATTTGTATTCTCCAGCAAGAAAATCACGGGAAAAGTCAAATAAATGCATTAATTGTTCATCGCCTGCTCCGAATGGAAGGAACCTTTGCAAGGATTGCTTGTTGGAAGTCGCAGATGCCCCCGGTAGGGGTTCTCCACAGGACAACCTTAAACTCTGGATTTCCCAGGCTATTGCTGAGGGCTTTAAGGCTACTACAGGATCTAGTGGTCAGAGTAAGAGACGCAGAGCGGAACCTCAGTCTTCCAGCTCTGATGAAGACCCTGATGTGTGGGAGGTCTCGGATGAAGGTGAGGAGGAAACTGAATATACCTCCAGGTCTCTTGACTCCAGGTCTGTTGATAGACTTATTACTCTTCTCAGAGACACTCTTAGTCTCACTGAAGAAAGGTCTGAATTAAAAGAGGCTGACAGGTTCTTTGAGGACCTAAAACCTAACAGACCGACTTTCCCGGTGCATACATCAATCAGAGATATGATCCTTCAGGAATGGACTAAGCCGGAAAAGAAATCCACCTTAAAAAATAAGTTCACGAGGGTTTAACCGTACTCTTCAGTGGACTGCTGCCTGTGGAACTCAGTTCCTAAAATTGACGCTGCAGTGATCCATATGGCTAAGAAAATGACACTGCCTATTGACTCCATGGCATATCTAAGAGAGCCTATGGAGAAGCGTATGGATGGAGACCTGATTAAAGACTATTTGGCCATAGGGTCCGCCCTTCATCCGGCAGTGGCACTAACTACTCTCTCCAGAGCCTTGAAAGTGTGGCTCGCTAATCTGAGGGAGGACATTGATCAGGGTGTCCGTAGGGAACATCTGTTGGAGAGCCTCAAGG